AGAAACTAAAGAAGCAAGATAAGAAAAAGAAAATTCTAGTGGTGTTTCGAAAAGTGGCAATCAATATCCCTTTATTTGACGTGATCAATCAAGTGCCAAAATATGCTAAATTCTTGAAGAACTTATGCATCAACAAGAAGAAATTGAAAGGAGAAATTTTCAAATTCATTGTTAGAAGTGCCTGGACTATTATGACGTGCCCATGTCAAGAGGGCACGTGGTAAATTTTAATTCAATAATTTCATCTTTAGAAGGGTTTCTACTAACAGGACGTGCCCACGTCTTTTCTTTTCCTTTTCCTCTCCTTTTTTCCTTTCCTTTTTCTCTTTCTCTTTCTTTCTTCTTTCTTTCTCTTTTCTTCTTCTCTCCCTTTCCTTTTTCTTCCTTTCTTTCCGTTTCCAGCTGCAAGACCGCAACCTTAGGTCCTCAAATTCCACCGCTGCCCATCAATTGCCATTGTCGCCGCTCATCGGGCGCGATTCTTCCCCATCCATCGTGAGCCACCCAACGTCCTCGGCTGCCAATCATAGCTTTCATCTTCATCAACTTTGCCATCGAGCCATTAAAGGAGAAATTTTTAAGTTGATGGTGATCCTGATCTGTCAATTTTCATCTACCTCTGCACCTCCACCACCATCATCTCTCTATGCCAAGTTGTTGTACCAGCATGGATAAGTTCATCAATTGGATGATCAGTTAGCCACCATCGAGCTCTACATATCTTTTGCTTGTCACCCGTAGCTGTCAACTGACCTCCTCAGTTTTCAGGGAAGTTTCGTTATCCCTTTTACTTCATCGTTTGATTCTTTATTTTTTACATTGGGGATAATGTAATTAGGTGTGGGGGGAGAGTAGTATATTGATAGTATATTGAAAAAGTTCAAGTGTAGGCATTTTTGTTAAAATTTTTTGTTTGACTTTGTCAAATTTTATCCAATTTTTGCCACTTCTTGCATATTTTTGTGGTTATTCCTGATTAATAATGGCAAGATGTCTCAAATTTTACCATTACTAAGGTTTTATACTCTAAGATGTTAAGTATAATATGGTTAAATCTAAGAATGTCTTTCTGGTGAATATTTGAGATTTTGTGATTTTTTACAATCTTTGATTAACTTTTCTAGGTATTGTAAATATTTTTCTGGCATTTTTTATGTAAATTGGTTCAACTATTAATCTTAGTTCTCCATGTTTGAAAAATAAAGCAGACTTATGTGGTTTTTAATTTTATTTTGTATACTTATTTGTGAATAATATTTAGCTATACTCCACTAATATCGTTGCCTAGTAACTGGGAGTCTTCACCACAAGTGTCGATTTTTGTGTCAAAAAAATGACGATAACTATGAGTATATGGTCCTTTAGTGATAAAAGTCGAGTAACCGGGTTCCTTCCTTTGGTTGATGTCGGAGTTCGCGTCAAAAGGCTTAAATGGCTAAGAACTAAGCTTTTTTCCCTTAAAAAAAGAGAGAATGAACTAATAGTGAAAAATGTGCAAGTGTGTGAATAATTGTGTTAGCCTACTGATCCATGAAGTTTAATGTTGAGATTTTGCTTAATAGTTGAACTATTTGTTGAAAAATGTTGGTTGAATATTTTATATTCTTAGATTAGTTAGTTAGGAATTGGAAAAGTCTTTGATTTTAAAAGCTAACTAGAGAGATATTTCTTAGAGATTATGTGACAGCCCTACCTCACCCTAAGGCGAACCAAAGAGTTCGGCGGACCGCCTGCCCAACTCTCACCGGGACTCAGTCATACCTCCATCAAAACCGGAATAAAACTACAAGAATCAAAACGAAATGGAAGGGCCGCCGCCATGCAGGATCCAACCAAGTACAAGTACACTTTGTTTGCCATGAAAGAATGTACATTCCCGAATACATATGTTACATAAACATGAGGAAACACTTTAAAATATACATATTAGTAAGTTTACAAATCCAAAAGGAAACATTGTATTAAGATACATTTAGGGTTTCCAAATTGTCGAGGAGCTATACCAAAAGAACAAAAGAATTTCTAACTAGCTCAACTCATTCCTCAAAACATTGAAGTTCCAAAAAATGGTTCCCTGTAAGGAAAGTAAGGATAACGGAACGGAGTGAGCTAAAAGCTCAATGAGGTACCAACAATATAAACAGTAGAATCAGTAGAGTTCATGAGAAAGCACTTTGGAGGCACATATTCACATCAAATATGAGAAATGAATGAACATCACAATGTAAAGCATACAGGTGACTCTCAAGAGCCAAATCCCCGTTGCTATACTTGATCCAACCTCGTTAACCCTCCGTCAATGTTCAAATAAAGGAACCAGTCCAATAGAACACCACTTTAACGCCAAAACCCCGTTCACCAAACATATCCCTTACCAGGCCCGAACGCCAAACAGGAACAGGAATAGTAATACTCGAGTATACCGGAATCAAGAGTCTCAATACCCAAAGATTTCTCAAGAACAGGTACCCATGGATTGTCAATTATCTCGACTAAGCCCTTGTTGGCTCGATTTAATTAACTCCCCATGAGGTTGAGCTCAAGTTTAACAGGAAGATCGTTGGATATAATTCCAAACAATCTCATAACAAGTGCAAGTAACAAGTTCAAATACATAACAAGTACAAGTAATAGATTCCAGTTCGTTCAATACAGGTAAGAGAACGAGTGTGATAAAGTACACCCTCGTCTCATACAACATAAACAGTCAGGAAAGACATTCAAATAGCAATTTGCAAGTACAGAAAACCAATTTAGCAATAACTCAGGAGAGTGGTGCACTCACCAGTTAAAGCAAGGATACGTCAAAAGTTTCAATCAAAGTAGGGCTCTAATCACCAACAAACCCTAGAATAACCAAGGTAAATAATTACGGTTCCCACAGTCACAAATCCAGTAAATGGAATGCATAAATGAGTCTCGACTACATGTCGTACGCCTTTCCAGGTTAAGTACTAGTACAAAATAATAAAACATGACTTTTGAGCAAAAAGTATAACAGTTGGTCCTAGGGTTACAAACAACTCCCAAAACCCATCATTTTTACCAAGATCAACTCAACTTGAAAGAATCGCGTAGCCCTAAAATTTTGGGCAGCATGCCCTCTGTATTTACCTATTTTCCAGCCACTTATGGCTTCATTATTTTTCTCAATCAATCCCAAAGTCACACACAATATAAATTCATCACAATAGCCATTCAATAGGCTCAAAGTCATTCAAGTACAAGATTTAGCTAGGAAAATGACCGGAAATGAACTTTAAGCTAAGAAACCAAAAAGGCAGATTCACCGCTACTTAGCGTATCGGACATAACCGAAACTACGCTTATTGGATTGAAGTGCAAGTCATACCGTTTCGAAGCTAAGACAGAGGGGTATAACTTTGATGAAGACTACTTAGTCCAGTTCTCACCCTCACTAGGTCAAATTTACCAAAACAAACCCAGATTTTCCAGTTCGAAGCTCACTGTGAAATTCAACTAGCAGTCCTGATTCGTTCAATCACATCTCAGCACACACAACTCCGATTCAAGTAATTCCAAAGCCATTTGAAAGCTAAAATAAAGGCTATAATTCTTAAGAAGACACAGACAACCAATTCGGTAATATTCCTAGTCAAACTAACCACTTACAGCGGCTGATTATCATTTTTGACAGAAACAGGGCAGCAGGGGAAATTCCATCATTTCACAAGATACGCTGCTCCATTTGAGCTTAAATTTTGTAAGCAGCTAGTTAACATCATTTTTTACAACTTTCATGTTTTAACCTAAACTTGATTCGGCCTCTAACATGCTTAAATAAAGCCGGACAGAACAGGGAAAATTGGAACCCTAAAGTCGAAATTTCCGCACAAAACTGAAATTTTCTGCAAATAGCTACACTTAACACTCCATAAGTTCATTCTAAACCATACCAAGCCATAATCCATGGCCAACCAACATTAAACATATAAAACAGAAAAATTATGAATAAAAATAAAAATTCCACAATCTCTACCAAAAGTCATGAAATAACCCACAAAATCACATGACTAGCCACCATAAGTCATGAATTAGCCATTATTGGAACCAAACAAGGAATCTTTACACACCATACCTTGATACCTCCCAAAAGGTTGCCAAACAACTCCACCAACTTCTTCAAACCTACCTAGCTAATGGTTTTTATAGAGGAAATCGAAGTTTTAACGGTTGGTTTGTAAGATTAAAGCAATAAATGAAGAAATAAGTTGAAAGCTTTCTTTCTTTTTCTCTCCAAGGTGCTCGGCCAAGATGATGATGAATGAAGGTGATTTTGGGTCCAAATTAGATATTTAGTAAAGTTAATGAATAGTAGTCAAAGTCAAGATTGAATAGAAAGGTGACACTTGTCACCCTTTTTAATGCAACTCTATCCTTTTGTCTCTCCAATGATAATTCATCTAGGTAACCTCTAATTATCTCTTAACACCTGATAAATTAAACCCGGTATACAAAACTTAACCTAGTCGGCCGAATTTTATCGAACTTACCGCACTAGTAGGTCCCACATCCGGTATATACTCTTAAAATCTCATGAACTAACTTATACTAGAAAAATAATTTAAAATATATATATTTGCTCATAAAAATTATTTTTAAAATTTTTCGAATAAAGAAAATATGGAAAGACGTGCCATAAGGATAAAATAAAACCTAAAAATTAAGAAAATTACGGGTTCTCACACTCTCTCCTCTTTAAAAAAATTTCGTCCTTGAAATTTTCTTATCACCAGGGTCTATCAAATCTAACGTAAATGGCGAATCGTACCTTCTACGTCTTCAGACGGGTTAGGGGCTTGATGTGACTCTAGGGAATACACCCGAGCCGACACCTTTGGTCCAGTCTATTCCCCCTTCGACTGGTTAGAGTTGATCTTGATTGATTGTCGATTCTCACTCCCTTCTCGAGATCTGCCTGGGCAATTAGCGATTTGATGATCTGCACTCCCCCAACGTAGACATTTTCTTCCTTTCTTCTAGCAGACATCCTCCGTGTGATTCGACTTTCCACAATACCCGCAGGGACCCTGGGAAGCAGAGCCCGAGCCTCTTTGTGAAGCACCACTTGACATTTCAGGAAATCTTACCCCTCCAGTTCCCTTTCCGAGCTTGGGTGGTGTGCTTGTATCCCCTTGTCCTACGTTACTTTCAGGAATAGTTCTTTTCTTTGCCTGAAAGGTTCTAACCTGCAACCTCACGCTTTCTACTCGTTGAGCTTTTTCCACTGCGTCACTGAAGGTACTCAGTTGGATTACAGCCAGATCCTTCTGAATTTCAACATTTAAGCCCTGGATAAAACGCCTTATTCTCCTTTGCTCAGTTACAATTAGTTCGGGAGCGAACTTAGACAACCTGGTGAACTGGCTCTCATATTCGGCAACAGTCTGAGCTCCCTGACGAAGTCTAATGAACTCATCTTCTTTCTTTTCCTGAATTAAAGGTGGGAAATACTTTGTGTTGAACTGTCTCATGAAATTTACCCACGTCCTCGGTGTTTGTTCTCTTTCCCATTTCAATCTTATGATATTCCACTAAGAACGGGCCGCTCCCTCCAGTTGGAAGACGGCAAATGACACCTGTCACTCCTCAGTATAGTGTAACGCGGCAAAAATATCAATTATCTTCTCTAGTCATCTCTCGGCCACATCAGGGTCTGGTCCTCTAAGGAATTTCAGTGGGGAGAACTTTTGAAATTGTTCGAGAGCCCTATCCTCCCCCTCTATATGGTTACCAGGGTTTCCAGGTTGAGAATTAAGGTTTTGGCCCTGATGCTCTACTACGTGGGCTAAAAGATCAGTCATGCGCTGGATAGCCGCAGCTACCTGAATGTTAGGATCCACTCCAGGTTCAGGATTGGATTCAGGCATTGGTTCCCGATTTTCCCTTTCATTCGAGAGTTGCCTACGTCCACGGCCCCAACCTCGTCCACTACGCGTTCCTTCCATTGGATTACTAATCTAGGCTCGAGGCGCGAATACAAGATACAAACTAGCGAGGTCAGTAAGTTAGATATATATATATAATACGTACGAATCAATTCAAAAGCAAATATACATATAACACGACTATATCAAACAATTCACACAGTAACAGTCAGTCAGATACAAGCAAAAGAAATCCTATGGAAGTGAGGGGGTCATTAGCAACTAACGAAAAGCTTCTCCCTAGAGTTCCATCTATAATCTACAAAAATACCACAATTTAGATCTTAAGCAGGGTTCATCATTCTCAGTGATCCTTAACACATCATATAAAGTTCCGTAAAATCAGATTTCTAATGCACCCAGATCATTTCTAACATACGCTTTCATCCCTTTTCGTACTCGAGCACAAGAATCCAAAATAAGATAATTCACCACTCGATCTAGCCAGTCCCAAGAGTAAATCATCTACATTTGTAATTCCTATCTGACATACGCATCTATGGTTCTCAGATACCATGAAAAAGATTTAAGACCTATACATTTGTGATTCATAGCTTACGCTCGAATGAGCACTTAGTCCTTCAAACTTATTCACCACTTGGCCCAATCTCATTTCGCTCACAGACCACACGAAACAGGTTCTGATACCACCTGTGACAATCCCACCTCATCCTAAGGCGAACCAAAGGGTTGGGCGGACCGCCTGCCCAGCTCTCGCCGGGACTCAACCATACCTCCATCAAAATCGGAATAAAACTACAAGAATCAAAATGAAATGGAAGGGCCGCCGCCATGCAGGATCCAACCAAGTACAAGTACACTTTGTTTGCCATGAAAGAATGTACATTCCCGAATACATATGTTACATAAACATGAGGAAACACTTTAAAATATACATATTAGTAAGTTTACAAATCCAAAAGGAAACATTGTATTAAGATACATTTAGGGTTTCCAAATTGTCGAGGAGCTATACCAAAAGAACAAAAGAATTTCTAACTAGCTCAACTCATTCCTCAAAACATTGAAGTTCCAAAAGATGGTTCCCTGTAAGGAAAGCAAGGATAGCAGAACGGGGTGAGTTAAAAGCTCAATGAGGTACCAACAGTATAAACAGTAGAATCAGTAGAGTTCATGAGAAAGCACTTTGGAGGCACATATTCACATCAAATACGAGAAATGAATGAACATCACAATGTAAAGGATACAGGTGGCTCTCAGGAGCCAAATCCCTATTGCTATACTTGATCCAGCCTCGTTGACCCTCCGTCAACGTTAGGGGTGTGCATCGAATTCGAATTCGGTAATTCGGAAGTTGAATTCGGAATTTTTCGGAAATTTGGCTTCAATTTCACCGACCGAATTCGATTTCGAAATGGCAACTTCCGAATTCGAATTCGCTACCGAATTGAATTCGGAATTCGGTGAATTCCGAATTCACCGAATTCTTTTTTTTTTTTTTGGCCCTCTCATTTCTTTCAAGAAACCTGTTCAAAAACAGTCGGAATCAAAAACAGAAACCTGTTCAAAGTAAATGCAGGAAATACAAAACAATTCCAGGAAATAATACAAAACAATTACAGTCCAAATCAGAATCACTATGTAAATTCCAGTCCAAACAATTACAGTCCAAACCAGTCCAAACAATTCCAGCAATTACAGTCCAAACAATTATAGTCCAAACCAGTCCAAACAATTCCAGCAATTACAGTCCAAACCAGTCCAAATTTCAAATACAAAACAATTCCAGGAAATAAGAATCCATTAAGCACCAAATCAGAATCACCATTAGAGAATTCAAACATCAACAATTGTGGCTTCTGCACCTCCTTTGATCAAACCTATTATTCAAGAAAGAAAAAAATAATGAAGTAGCTTAATTGCATTTATGAATAGAAAAAATATTTCAAGTTTGTCAATAAAAAAGAAGATAATTTACCAGATTCAAATTCCTCAAGATCCTCCAATTTTTCTTCTACATTCAACTCATTTTCGGATGCCTGAAACCAGTCTTGAGCACAAATCAATGCTTGCACAATCCTTGGAGTTAAAGAGCTTCTGAATGGGTCAAGAACACGTCCTCCGGTACTAAAGGCAGATTCGGAAGCAACCGTAGAGACCGGGACAGCCAACACATCACGAGCCATTTGCGAAAGTATTGGCAACCGAAGACTATTACCTTTCCACCAATTCAAGATATCGAACTCGGGATCCTCATCCTCACAATCCTCACTCAAATATTTGTCAAGTTCAGATTTAGCATTCTTTCCTCCAAGTTCAACTTTTCTTTTCTTGAACTCAATTCTGTATCTATCATTTATTTTTTTGGAGACTTCTCCATCAAAGGAAGAGATGCTATTTTCAGATCCACTAGAAAGTGAAGAAATAGAGGATTGAGAAGATCCAGCAGGAGTATTGAGTCTCTTGTAATCATTAAACAATTCATACATTGCATCCTTGGCTACATGAGCCACAACAGCACCTTCGGTATCACCATACATTTTACAAGCAACGAATTCAAAGTACTCAAACTTTGTCCTAGGATCAAGTATGTAAGCAATGAAAATCAACATGTTCATTTTCTCCAATCTTCCCCAATACTTATCATACTTCTCTTTCATTATTTTTGCCATTGCACGCAAGTCGGGATTAGCACTTTCTGCCATTTCCTTTAGGATGCCATTAATGTGACTAAGCTCATTGATAAGATTATTAGATGTCACATATTTGGAACCAGAAACCTTTACTGTGAGATCATAAAAGTTCTCCAAAAATAAAGTTAAGAATCTTGCCTTTTCCCAATCATCTTTTGTTGGCAAGTGCTCTAGCTCATTTAGCATATATGGATCTTGCTCCTCAAACCTCTCAAATGCCCTCTCAAACCTATGAGCACTGTCTAACATTAAGTAGGTTGAATTCCACCTAGTTGCCACATCTAAACTTAGTAACCTTTTACTGTCAATTTTTTCAATTTCAGCACATTCCTTGAATTTTTTCAAACGAGAAGGTGATTGTCTAATGTATCTCACAGCTGTTCGGATAGAATCAACGGATCCCCCAAATTTTTTTAGTCCATCACTCACAATCAAATTGATTATGTGAGCTACACATCTTATATGAATCCACTTTCCCCCTAATATAGATTTACCCCAATTTTGCAATTTTTCAACCAAATATTGCACAGCCGTGTCATTTGAAGCAGCATTGTCAACTGTTACTGTGAAAACATCATCAATCCCCCACTCTAATAAGCATTTCTCAATACTCTTCCCAATTTCAGTCCCTTTATGACTACTAATTGGACAAAAATTTAAAATTCTTTTGTTCAATTGCCAATCACAGTCAATAAAGTGTGCTGTCAAACACATATAATTTATTCGCTGGATAGATGTCCAACAATCAGTGGTGAGACAAACTCTACCAGCTCTACGCCTTAACATATTCTTCAACTTAATTTTTTCATCTAAATAAAGTTGATAGCAATCTCTAGTAATTGTCCACCTTGAAGGAATTTGAAAAGAAGGACAAGCAGTTCTCATGACATGCTGAAATCCTTTACCTTCTACATGTTTGAATGGCAATTCATCAACAATCAACATATAAGCGATGCTTTTTCTAATTGCATCAGGGTCACACTTCCAACTAATAAGTGCACTCTTAACATTCCCCCCAAGACCACCAACCTCACCCAAGCATAATGTACCTTGCCCCTTAGACTTATTTGCAGGATTCGTTTCACATGATTTAACATGGGATAAGAGAGGACTAGTACCATTAGACTTCGGATCAGCAGCTATCATTTTCGTACAGTAATTACATATGCCATGACGAACACCTTGGACATAGTGAGGCTGAAAATGATCCCAAGCTGGTGACCTTTTCTTGTACTCGCCTCTCTTCTTCTTAATACCAAGACCAGATTCTTCACAGCTGTTGGAAATATGAGCTGGACTTGAATATGGTGTTGAATCACTTGAACCTTCCATCTCAAAAGTGGACATGTTTACTGATATGCAAAAGAAAATGAAAATAAAATGAAGATATGTTTCCCAATATATGCAATAGATTAGACAATAAAATGAAGAAATATTGAGAGTTTGAATCACATAATGCAGTTTCCTGGAGAACTTGTTTCCAATTTAGCACAGAAAGTTATTGTTAGACTACACATCATTCTCCAAAAGCCAAAAATTAATATACTAAAGTAAGAACTACTCATCCAAAACCCATTTTACACATCTTTTCAACAGGTTTTCCAAACTGTTTTCACGCTCATAACAAAATAAAATTGACACACTCAAGCAGTCCAGTAGAACACCACTTTAACGCCAAAACCCCGTTCACTAAACATACCCTCTACCAGGCCCGGCCAAACAGGAACAGAAATGGTAATACTCGAGTATACCGGAATCAAGAGTCTCAATACCCAAAGATTCCCCAAGAACAGGTACCCATGGATTGTCAATTATCTCGACCAAACCCTTGCTGGCTCGATTTAATTAACTCCCCATGAGGTTGAGCTCAAGTTTAACAGGAAGATCGTTGGA